CTCCAGTCTGGGCAACAGAGTGAGACTCCAACTCAAAAAAAAAAAAGATACTTTTTCCACTGCTCAAAACAGTTGCTGAACTTGTTAATCGTGATGCCTTTTAGTACTTCTGCTATTTTTTGTTTCACCTCTTCCACATTAGTAAAACAATTCTCTTTGAGGACTTATCCAGGGAAACAAAAAAGTTGCTCAGGGTGAGATCGGGTGAATAGGAGGGTGGGGCATGGGTGTCATCACATTTTTTAACCAAAAACTGCTGAACACTCAGTGTGGTGTGGGCTCATAACTCATTCATCATGAAATGGGCAAACACATTGAGAGAATCTCCAAAAAAGAGTTCACTGAAGCCAAACACGGCCTCTCACCACAATGCTGACTAGTGCACGGGTGCCAGTGGGTTCCTAGAACACTCACCTTGTGGGGAAAGCCTGTACTGCAAGGGGCCTACCCTCCAAAACCCTCCGCTTTTTTGGGGGGGAGGTCCCCCTTGTATTCTATTATTTGCAGTTAAATCCATATAATTGATTTAGCAAGAATAATCAAGATTGGTAATAGCTGTCATAGAGCATCGTGCTTGAGCAGTGGTGTCTTCCATGAGCAAGGGCTAGAGAAGTGGTGGCACCGATGTCCTGTTTAGCATTCCAGCTTTAGGGCCACATGGTAGATGCTCAGGAAAGGCGATTTGTCCCTGAATCTCTTTACTCCCTATCAGGCTCTTCCCAGACCCCAACCCTGTCAGCTATTGTCTTTCACTTCTAGCCGTCATTGCTAGGGAGAACTTCCTTTTCTAGAAAGGCTTGGGTTCTCCCTTTCTAGAAAGGCTTGGGGTCCTGGCCTCTGTCACTGGGGCTTGTCAAGACTTTTTTTTTTTTGAGTTGGAGACTCACTCTGTCGCCCAGGCTGGAGTGCAGTGACATGCTCACGGTCACCTCAGCCTTGATCTGCTGGGCTCAGGTGATCCTTCCTCCTCAACCTTCCAAGTAGCTGGAACTACAGGCATGTACCACCACGCCTGACTAATTTTTTATTTTATCGAGGTCTTGCCAAGTTGCCCAGCCTGGTCTCAAAATCCTGGACTCAGGCAATCCTCTTGCCTCAACCTCCCAAAGTGCTGGGATTATAGGCGTGAGTCACTATACCTGGCCTCAATCAAGACTTTTGGTTGCAAATGTCAGGACCCCACCTGGTTTTTCTGCTGGACTTTCTGAAGGAAGAATATCAGAAACTGGAATGTTACCAGTCTCCTGGCAGACCTATACTCTGTCTCCCAGCACACATCGCCCTTAATCTTCTCTCTCTGCTGACCAGCTTTCTCCTTTTCTCTGTCCCCACAGTAGGAGGTGCCTCTGTAGCATCCACGATGTCAATATAGGATGTCTTCCAGTCTCAGTGGGGGTGGTCTGATGTGGCTCAGCTAGTATGACCAGGGGGCAGGGTCACGTGCCAGAACTTACTTTGTGGGTCAGTTGGGCAGAGAAGCAGGTCTGGGCTGCTGTTTTTGAACAGGACTCTTTGGTATGGTTGCCACCAGTTCCATGAGACTATTTGAATTTAATTTTAAATTAATTAAAATTAAATAAAATTTAAAATCCACTTCATTTGTTCTAGCACCCCTCTTTTTTTTTTTTGAGTTGGAGTCTCACTCTGTTGCCCAGGCAGGAGTGCAGTGGCATACTCATGGCCACCCCAATGTCGACCTGCTGGGCTCCAGTGATCCTTCTGCCTCAGCCTTCCAAGTAGCCGGAACTGCAGGCACGTGCTACTATGCCCGGCTAATTTTTGATTTATTGTAGAGATGAGATCTCACCAAATAGCCTGGGGTAGTCTCAAACCTGTGGGCTCAGGCAGTCCTCTCGCCTCGGCCTCCCAAAGTGCTGGGATTACAGGATGACCCACCGAGCCCGGCCTCTAGTCCCCTTTTAAGCATACAGAATATTTCCATTATTACAGAAGGCTCCGCCAGACAATGCTATTCTAGAAGGTACCCACTACACTCAGTGATAATTGGTCAGAACCAGGAGGGCCCCTAAACACATATTGGTTAAGATACAAACTATGCTGTTATAACAAAGAAACCCATAAACGATTGTGGCTTCAACATAACACAAGTTTTTTTGCTTTCTTAGGTAATGGTCCAAGTCTGACATAGCATCTCCAAGTGTCAGCATTGCTATGTTTTATTTTGCCGGTTGACCTTCTTCAGAGTGTGGACCGTGACCTCATGGTCCAATAGTGCACCACCTGTGTGGTTTTCAGGCAGCAGAAGGGGAAAAGAAGAGGAGGGGAAGGGCGTGTCCCTTTCTTGGCTGGGCAGAACCTGGTAGCTGTACTCATCCCTTCTGCTCTCATCCTGTTGACCAGACTTGGTCACATGGGCACCTATAGCTGCAAGGGATCTTAGAAAGTGAAGTCTTTAGTTGAGAGGCTATCACTGTGTTGAAGGACAGTGCGCATTCTCTGCCACAGGACTGTCTCTCTCAATTCCTCCTGTTTGCAGGTGAGAAGAATGAAGAGATAGAGGCCAACAGGAGACAGTGGCAGAGCAGTCACAGGTCCTGACCTCCACCTCTGAGCTCTGTCCCAGCCTCTCTGTGGTAGTTGTCTCCGTCCTTTAACTGGCCATCACTAAGGTTCAGACCGGTCCACTTAGGTCCAGACCAGTCCACTTACTTGGTTAGAACTTAGCTATATGACTGTACCCTCATGGCAGAGAATGCTGGGAAATGCCGTCTTTTTTCTCGGTGGCCATGTGTCTCTAAACCAGGAGAAAGAGGGAGAGGATATTGGTGAGCGTGCAGTATTTTCTACTCCACTGCCTTGTCAGAGACTTTATTCTAGAAGAAGATATTGTACATACATTGAACTCTTAATGAATTAGTGACAGTTGTGATGTGTGCTGGGAATCCATGTTACAGTGGTGAATGCTGACCTCTTTCCTGATCAGTCAAGTACATGAAGGAGGTCTCACCATATTTCAAGAACTCTGCCAGCGGGACCTCAGTCGGCTGGGACTCGCCTCCTGCCTCACCCCTTCAGCGGCAGCCTTCCTCCCCTGGGCCCGCTCCCCGGAACCTCAGTGAGTCCAAACACATATCCTTGAAGATGGCGTATATCTCGAGGAGGTGCATCCCCACTGACCCGGAGCCCAGGTAAGGCTGGAGCTAAAGGTAGCTCAAATAGACAGATGCCCTGGCATTAGGTGGTGGGGCCAGGGGAAGATAGCTGTGTTGCACAGTGCCCGGCACAATGCCGGTAGATAGGTGCATAAGAAGCAGATTGGATGGCTGCCAAGTGAAGTGATGGAAAGGTCTCACCAAGTTGTTTGGGCTGGTCTTGGACCCCCAGGCTCAGCAATCCATTCACTTTGGCCTCCCAAAGTGCTGGGATTACATACAGGCTGAGCCATTGAGCCCGGCCTCCTCACTGATCTTTAACCTCTCCACTGTGAAATAAAATTGTTGGACTCATTGATTCCCCTCAAGTCTCTGTCACTTCTGCTGAAGTTCTGAGATGCCTGGTAACATTTGTATCAGGGCTACTGAAAGTTACCATGCTTCACATCTAAGGGGCTTTAATAGTTCATTGGTAATAATACGGATACCAACTAACATGTACTGAGTATTCACTGGTCAGCTGAGCCTGATCCCAGACATTACCTGAAATATGCATGTATATGTCTCTACGTGTGTGCACATGGAGCTGACTTGCAAATGCAAATGTCTGTGTGTATATAAGTGAATATTTGTATGTGTATGAGTATAGATCTGTGCATATGTGTTTGTATGTTTATATGTTAATATTTGCATATGTGTACATATGTGTGTGTGTGCATGTGTGCCTGGGCATATGCATGCATGAGTAAAATTACATGTGTAACCTGAATATAACTGGGGTTCCATATGACCCACTATCAGTGCAATATCCCTGTTAAAGGTACACAGTTTGACAACCAAAATACAATGAAAGTGATTTCAAAACTTTTCTTTTCTTTTTTTTTGGAGTTGGAGTCTCACTCTGTCGCCCAGACTGGAGTGCAGTGGCCGCTCCCGGCCACCGCAGCCTTGACCTGCTGGGCTCCGGCGATCCTTCCACCTCAGCCTTCCGAGTAACTGGAACTACAGGCGTGCGCTACCACGCCTGGCTAATTTTTGATTTATTGTAGAGATGAGGTCTCGCCAAGTTGCCCAGGCGGGTCTTGAACCCGCGGGCTCAGGCAATCCACTCACCTCGGCCTCCCAAAGTGCGGGATTGCAGGCTGAGCCACTGAGCCCGGCTGATTTCAAATTTTTACTCAATGTTAGGGCTGCATTTGGCTGCAAGTATAGAAATCCCAACAAGCAGTGTCTTAAATAAACGAGATTTATTTTTCCACGTTTCTTTTTTTCTTTTTTTGAGTAGGAGTCTCACTCTGTCACCCAGGCTGGAGTGCAATGGCATGCTCATGGTCACCTCAGCCTTGGCTCGCTGGGAGATCATTCTGCCTCAGCCTTCCAAATAGCTGGACCTACAAGTGTGCGCCACCACACCTGGCTAATTTTTTGATCTACTGTAGAGATGAGGTCTCACCAAGTTACCCAGGCTGGTCTCAAACCCCTGGGCTCAGGCAATCCTCTTGCCTCTGCCTCCCAAAGTGCTGAGATTACAGTTGTAAGCCACTGCACCTGGCCGTTTTTCCACGTTTAAAAAGAAGTCCAGGGGTCAGCTATTCAGGCTGCTGTGGATCAGTGGTCCCTAACCTTTTTGTCATCAGGGGCCGGTTTTGTGAAAGACAGTTTTTCCACAGATGGTGGGGTGTGTAGGGAAAGAGAGGGGGAATCATCAGGCATTAGATTCTCACTTGATCTTAGCCAAAAGGCCGAGAAGCAATGGCATTAGTTTCTCATAAGGAGCTGAACCTAGATCCTGCACACATGCAATTCCCAATAGGGTTCATGCTCCTATAAGAACTGATTGCCTGGCTGGGGGTTTGAGACCAGCCTGGGCAACTTGGTGAGCTCTTGTCTCTACAAGAAATCACAAAAAAAAAGAAGAAGAAAGAATTGCCACTGCTCATCTGACAGGAGATGGAAATCAGGAGATAATGTGAGCGATGGATGAGGAGCTGCTGTGAATACAAATGAAGCTTTGCCTGCTCACCTGCCACTCACCTTCTGCTGTGTGGCCCGGCTCCTAACAGGCCACAGACTGGCACTGATCTGTGGGCCGGGGGTTGGGGCCCTTGCTCTAGACACTCAAGAGTGCTGTCACAGAACCAGGCTTCTACCTTCTTCCTCTGCCATTTTTATTATAGTTTTTCTTTTTCACAGAGACAGGATGGTAGCTGCACCTCCAAGCAGGTGTCCCTATGGCAGACCAGATGAAGACAAAGGGCAGAGAGAGGCTTTTCTCCTGGCATTTGGCTATCTATTGCTGTATAACACACCATCCTGAGATTTAGTGGCTTAAAAAATAGCAATTTAGCCAGCTGTGATGGCTCATGCCTGTAATCCCAGCACTTTGGGAGGCAGAGGCAAGAGGTTTGCCTGAGCCCACAGGTTTGAGACCAGCCTGGGCAACATGGCAAGACCTTGTCTCTACAATAAATAAAAAATTAGCTGGACTTGGTGGCATGTGCCTGTAGTTCCAGCTACTTGGAAGGCTGAGGCAGAAGGATTGCCTGAGCCCAGCAGGTCGAGGATTCGGTGGCCATGAGCCTGCTACTGCACTCCAGCTTGGGTGATAGGGTAAGACTCCGACTCAAAAGAAAAAAACAACAACAAAAAATGAAAATAGCAATTTATTTGCTCTCACAATTCTGTAATCTGGGCCGACTTGACTGACCAGGTGTTCTGCTCTTTGTGGTATCTGCTGGGACTGGAAGTCCAAGTGGCTGCTTCACTCACATTTGGTGCCTAAGCTGGGATGGCTGGAACCACTGGGGGCTGACTGGACTTTTCTCTTTCCACGTGGCCTTTCCACGTGACTAGCTTGTGCTTCCCTGTAGCATGGTGCTCTCAAGGTAGCAGGACTTTTTTTTAGGTTTTTATTTATTTTTAAAATTAATTAGCTAATTACTTTTGAGTCATGGTCTCACTCTGTTGCCCAGGCTGGAATGCAGTGGCATGATCATGGCTCACCGCAGCCTCAGATTCCTTGGCTCAGGCAATTCTCCCTCCTCACCTTCCTGAATAGCTGAGACTACAGATGTGTACCACCATACCTGACTAGCTTTTGTTGTTTTGTAGAGATGAGGTCTTGCTATGTTGCCCAAGCTGGTCTTGAGCTCCTGGCTTCAAACAGTCCTCCCATCTTGGCCTCCTAAAGTGCTGTTATTACAGGCATGAGCTCCCACGTTCAGCCTGCTAGCTGGACTTCTTATATGGTGGCTTGGAAATGACTTCTGCTACATTTTATTTGTTTAACCAAGTCATAAAGTCAAGGGGAGGAGACACGATCTTCACCCTTCTCTGGGAGAAGTGGACTGTGTATACAGGAAGGGATGGATTTGGTGGAGGCCATCTTTGGAGACTAACTACCACACACAGGAAAGATTTACCTGTCATTCAGGAAGGGACATCCACCCCAGAGGCTTCTGTCTATATCTCGTGGGTCAACACTGGGTCACCTGGCTAGCCCTAGCTGCAAGAGATGCTGGGAATTCAACTATTTTGCATTCTAGTTCTGCAGTAGAGAAAGGTGCAGGTGAAGGGGGTGAGATAGGTGTTGTGTGAGCCACTCTGGAGTTTCTGCCTCCCTCCATCTAGTGCTGAAACGCCAAAGGGACTCTTTAATGCCCTCAGGATATTCTGGAAATCCTCTCCCTGTCACCTCTCCTGTTGGCACCTCCCAGACACTCTCCTCCACACTTACCTGCCTGGCGTTTTGTCTCTTCCTCCTTCCTGTGCCATTCCCTCAGCTCTTTGTTAGGTAGATCAACTTGGCCTCTTAAGCCTCTTTGCCTTTGTGTTTTCTGCCCTTCTTATCAGTGGAACAAGGAGAGTCTGGGAGCTGCCCAGCAAGGGCCTTAGAAACCAGGATAAGAGGGCAAGGTCATTTCCATGATTTCAGTTGTCACCCAGTAATGATTTCGGCCCCAACACGTTTGAGTGTGTGCATGTGTTTGTGTGTATATGCATGCGTGTGTGTGTGTGTGTGTGTGTGTGTGTGTGTGTGTGTGTGTGTGTGTGACAGCCTCTTGTCCCTGGACCTCCTGAGGCCCCAACCACTGTGGCTGGAGCCCAAGCAGTGGGTGTCACTCCTGGTTCTGTTGTGGACATCCCTGCAATTCCTCCTGGTTTGGTGGTGGGTGGGGTTTGGTGGTTGCAGCCTAGTGGTCAGGATCTCCCCTCCTCCATTTGTGCCCACAGGTACCTGGAGATCTGTTCGGCAGATGGCCATGACACCTTCTTCCTGAGGGCCAAGGATGAAGCTGGTGCAAGGTCGTGGGCCAGTGCCATCCAAGCCCAGATCGGCGCCCTGGTGCCCTGGGTCAAGGGCGAGCTACAGGCACTGCTGGCAGCCCCGGACACAGCTGGGAGCCAGGATATCAAGCACGTTGGCTGGCTGACCGAGCAGGTGCCTGGGCTGGCTGGGCCTGGCCCCCCACCCCCAGAGCCAGCCTTGTTCCCAATGCCCCTCCCTGTCTCACTTGCCCTGGCCCTCAGACTTCTGCCCTCCCCCCCACCCCGCTCATTGCTGCTTTGCCCCCGCAGCTGCCCAGTGGGGGCACGGTCCCCACCCTGGCCCTGCTGACTGAGAAGGAGCTGCTCGTCTACTCCTGTCTCCCCCAGACCCGTGAGGCCCTGAGCCGGCCAGCCCGTACTGCCCCGCTCATCGCCACCAGGTACCACAGGCAGGGCGGTGTGTCTCCCCCAGAGCGTGGGGGTGATGCTCCAGGAGGGCCCCAGAAGCTAGGAGCTGCAGCCCTGTTCTGCCTGCAGCTGTTCCCCAGGTGACCGAAACGAGTCTCTGCCCTGTCTGGGCCTCAGTTGCCTCACTTGCTAAATGGGGACTTGTAACAAAAGGATGCGGGGTCCTACCAGCCACTCTTTCATGATACCCACACCTTGTGCTGTGTGACTTGGGCAACGCAGAGCTGACCCCAACAGTCTCTGCCTTCAAGGAGACCCCAGTCTGGTGGGATAGACAGATCCAGGAGCAGCCACTACAGTGCAGGGTTTGTAGGAGCCGCTTTCCTGCCCTGCTGGTGGGGAAAGGCTTGAGGGAGGACGTGAGATTTGAGCTGGATTCTGGTGGGTGAATAGAAGTTTGCTATTGAAGAAAGGGCAGAAGAGCATCTCATAAAAAGAGGATACCATGATCAAAGGTGCAGAAGCCTGAAGAGATGTAGCATGTCGGTGGAGCTGTGAGAGTGGTGTGACTGGTGTGTGGGATCCATGCAGGGAACAGAGAGGCATGAGAGTGGAGGCTGGCAGGCCTGGCCTTCGGAGCGCTGTTGCTGGGTGAGGGAGTGTTGGCTTTGTCTGAAGGGTTTAAGTACGGCAACTCTGGTTTTTTTTTTCTTTTTTTGAGTTGGAGTCTCACTGTCCCCAGGCTGGAGTGCAGTGGCATGCTCACAGCCACTGCAGTCTCTACCTGCTGGACTCAGGCAATCCTGCCTCTGCCTCTGCCACCATGCCTGGCCACTTTTTTGATTTATTGTAGAGATGAGGTCTCAGTAAGTTGCCCAGGCTGGTCCTGAACCCTTGGGCTCAGGAAGTCCTCATGCTTCGGCCTCCCAAAGTGCTGGGATTACAGGCATGAGCCACTGCACCCAGCTCTGGTTGTGTTTTAAAGGAATCCTGTGGCTGCCACACAGGACACGCAGTGAAGAGTGCAGGACGGCAGCTGGGAGGCTGTGCCTTCCTGCCAGAGCAGAGCGATGGAGGGCTGGGGAGGCGGAGGCGGGTGGGCAGCAGATGGGACGAAAGCAGCATTTGCATTGGAAAGCACATGGGTGGTAAAACTAAGGCTTAGTGCTTGCCAGTTGGAGAGGTGGAAGAAGGCGTCTGGAATGAACGGGAGGTCTGGGGCTGGTGTCTGGGTGAGCGTGGGCCTGGCGGTGGGGGCGCAAAGAGAGGAGGCTGGAGCAAGATGCTGAGTCAAGTCTAGAGTGCATGTGGGATAGACAGGGGGTGGGATGGGAAGCTTGTGGACTCATGGGTCTGTAACTCCGGACTGGAACCTGGGAAACTGGGTGTCTGCAGAGGCCCAAGCGGGGAACTGAGCTAAAGAGACTGGCTAGAGGGAGGAGCAAAGAGGGATACAGGCCAGAACTGTGAGGTCTGCTGCCCAGAGAGGGACAGTGAGTTTCCAAGGCCACACCGCAAGTGAAAGTCAAGCTGCAGGATCTGAGACCTATGTCACTCAAGGAGGCAGTCTTTACCTGGGCCTGGGTTCTGGCCCATGTGTCAGGAGCCTGTTGGCTCCTGGGGATAATGAGGTCATGGATTGCCTACCCAGTCAAGTCAGGCAACACATGTTTGCTGAGCACCTACTGTGTGTCAGGCTTGGTTTTAGTTACTGGGATACAGTGGTGAGCAAAAGACAAAGATTTCTATCCTAGCTGACATTCTAGAGAAAGAGAACAATTGAAAACCAACAGGAACGAATATATAAAAAGTGTAATTTCTGGTACCATGATGAAAAAGTAAGGCAAGTGAGTGACAAGGGCACCATTTAGACAGTTAGGTCAGGAAAGGCTTCTCAGAGGAAGTGACATTTGATAAAGATCTGAAGAAGTGAGGGAGCAATGCAGGTATCAGGGAAGCATGTTAAGGCAGAGGGAACAGCGTGTGCAGAGTGAGGACACCAGGACACCAGTGAGACGAGCCGAGGAGGTGGCGGAACAGTGGGTGGGAGCCATCTCCTGCCAAGCCACTCAGTGCCCACTGGCAAGTCCTGTCCCTGCTGGGTGGTAAAGGGCTCCCAGGTCCCTTCCCAGGTCCACCCCCTTTGCCCAGAACTGTTTGCCCTCTGCCCAAGGCCTCATGCTTGCCCTCTGCCCTCACCCCAGACTGGTGCACTCGGGCCCCTCCAAGGGCTCGGTGCCCTATGACACAGAGCTCTCCTTCGCCCTGCGCACGGGTACGCGCCATGGTGTGGACACTCATCTGTTCAGCGTGGAGTCACCGCAGGAGCTGGCCGCCTGGACCCGCCAGCTGGTGGACGGCTGTCACCGGGCTGCCGAGGGTGTGCAGGAGGTGTCCACAGGTGCGCTGGGCAGATCTAGGAGTGCCTGTCTGGTAATGAGCCTCTTGCTCTCAGAGGCATTCAAGCTTCCTGCTTTAGAGTGTTTTAGAAAGGAGATAGAAAGTGGGGTTTGGAGCTGGGTGGGCATGATGGCATACATCTGTAGCCTGGCTACTCAGGAGGCTGAGGCTGGAGTATCACTTGAGCCCAGGACTTTGAGGTTACACTGACCTATGAGCATACCACTGCACTCCAGCCTGGGTGACAGAGTGAGACCCTGTCTTTTAAAAGAAAGAAGAAAGTGGGGTTAGGGACCTCTGTTTTGGATTTGCAAGTGTCCTGCTGGGCAGAGAGACTCTTCCCTGGGTCTTCTTGGCTCTGTGATTCTCCTGATAAGGATTTGAGAGATGGCACTGGGGCAGGGTTGCCAGATAAAATGCAACCCAGTTAAATGTGAATTTCAGGTAAACAACAGATGCTGTTTCATGTAAGTACGTCCAAATTATTCATTGTTTATCTTATGTGAATTTAACTGGGTGGGTCTCCGAGGGCCAGGCTTGCAGTCTGCTGACTCCTGTACAGGGAGCGGACCTTCTGCCCATGGAAGGTTTTGAGCCCCTCTTCTGCTTTCAGTGCTGCTGGAAGTGGAACTGGAAGTGGAGATGGGTTCTCTGGGTGGGAGGGTGATGACACGGGTGGGGGTACCAGAGCCACAATGGGCCCTGGAAGGGTCCAGGCCCACTCCGGGCAGCTGTGGGGGGTTGGAGTCGGGGTGTGGTCTCTGAGAGTCCTCTGTGCTGTGCCCACATGCCTCCCGCAGCCTGCACGTGGAACGCCCGTCCCTGCAGCCTCTCTGTGCACATTGACAAGGGCTTCACTCTGTGGGCAGCCGAGCCTGGTGCAGCCCGAGCTGTGCTGCTCCGGCAGCCCTTTGAGAAGCTGCAGATGTCCTCCGATGATGGCGCCAGTCTCCTTTTCCTGGACTTTGGGGGCGCTGAAGGCGAGATCGTGAGTGAAAGACTGCCTCTGCACCCGGGGAGGAGGGGTTGTGTCCTCCTGGAGGCCAGGCTGCATGGGCCCTGACCTTTCTTTCCATCCACCTGCAGCAGCTGGACCTGCACTCGTGTCCCAAAACCATGGTCTTCATCATCCACTCCTTCCTCTCGGCCAAGGTCACCCGCTTGGGGCTCTTGGCCTAGAAGTCGCCACATGCGCTGGCCCTGAAGAGGGGTGTCTACCATGTGGCCTGACCTGGCCTTTGCCTGCTGCCTGCTCTTCACGGGGCTGAGGGCCAGGAGAGGAGGGAAGCGAAGTCCTCCAAGACCCTGGCTCCTGAGGGAAGCTGGACTGGGTCTCGGGTGCCAGGACTTGGACCCAGGACCCAGCAGATCCTGCCTGTGATCGGGTGGCCTTCCCACCGCCCCCTCCACCAGTGCCTTTTGCAGAGAGATATTTTGTGTACACAGAAGCCATTCCGAGCCTGGACCTGTCCTGTGGGGATGACGACCCAGCCAAGGGCTGAGCTGCCTGCCAGGCCTCCTAGAGGCTCCTAGGCCACCCTGGAGGTCCCATCTGAAGCCCAAGTCCCCTGGGGTCAGTGGCAAGAGAAAGAAGAGGAGACTTTCTATTCATTTTCCCTCAGTCCCCACCAACTTGGGGCATCTGGTGTCTCTCTTCATCCTCTCTCTCCTTATTCTCGGATTAATAAACAGCCTGTGAGCACATGGGCAGCCTGGGCTAGTCTCTGTGGTTTGTGCCTTGGCCTTTGGGCCTGGTGGTGACCCCTGCAGTCCCAAGACGGACCAGACCAAGGACCAGGACACCTTTCCCTGGGGAAGGGCAGACGTTATTTTTGAGTTGGAGTCTCTGTCGCCAGGCTGGAGTGCAGTAGCATGCTCACGGCCACCACAGCCTTGACCTGGGCTCAGGCGATCCCTCTCTCTCAGCCTTCCAAGTAGCTGGAACCACAGGTGTACACCACCACACCCAGCTAATTTTTCTTATTTATTGTAGAGTTGTGGTCTCGCCAAGCTGCTCAGGCTGGTCTCGAATCCCTGGGCTCAGGCAGTCCTCTCGCCTCTGCCTCCCAAAGTGCTGGGATGACAGGTGTGATCCACTGCACCCAGCCTAGAAGGGCAGCCTTTTACAGAGGGTGTTCTGGGTATCTATTGTGTGACAAGTTACCCAAGATTTATCTGCTTAAGATGGCATGCATGTATCCTCTTGGGTTCTGTGGGTCAGGAACAGAGAGGGGCTCAGCTGGGTGGCTCTTGCCTCAGGGCCTTTCATGAGGTTGCAGTCAAGATGTGGCCAGGGGCTTTCACCATCTGAAGGCCTGGGCCAGAGGACCTGTGTCCAACACTGTGTGGGTAGGAGGTCTCAGGTCTTCACCCCATGGCCTGACTGCAGGGCTGCCCCCATCCGCATGACGTGGAAGCGGGTTGTCCCTGCGGTGAGACTTGAGAGGACAAGCAGGAAGCTAAGTGCCTCTTCACACTTGGTCTGGGACGTCATGTACTGCCTCTGTTGCCTTATTCTGCTCATTAGGAGTCACTGAATTCAGCCCACACTCAAATGGAGGGGAATTAGTTTCCACTCTTAAAGAAAGGAATGTCAGATAATATGTGGACCTATTTTAAAACCATCTTGAAGCCTCGGGCCCTTTCCTGTAGAAGCAAGGTTGGGTAGAGCATGCTTTGCACTTTAGAAACTAACGTTCTGGCTGGATGTGAGTGGGTGGTAGCTGTAATTCCCTTCTTGTATTAGGCATGCTGGTTTATGACTGTAATCGCAGTGCTTTGGGAGGCCAAGGTGGGAGGATTGCTTAAGGCCAGGATTTCAAGACCAGCCTTGGCAACACAGAGAGCCTGTTTCTACAAAAATTTAAAAATTAGCTGGGTGTAATGGTGCATGCCTATAGTCCTAGGCCCTAGCTGCTTGGGTGGCTGAGGCAGGAGGATTCTTAAGCCCAGGAAGTTGAAGCTGCAACGAACTATTATCACACCAATGCACACCAGACTCTAGTCTGGGGAACAGAGACCGTATCTCTTTAGAACAAACAAGCAAACAAAAACAACCTCCCCACTTGCTTGCATTGTCCAGAGAACTACAATGACAACAGCAATGATGGCTAGCATTTTTTTTTAACTTTCTAAAGGATCAGTTTATTCAATATAGCGCTAAGATAAAAACCATGTTACTTCAGGGCTATCACTTGCAGCTTACTTATAATGGTAGCATTGTTTTTTCTGCGTGTATTTATTGGTGAAAACAATACTTTCTCAGCTTTTCCACATTTCCAGCAATATCCTGAACCGCCAAAGACACATCTGTTCTCGTTCTGGCTGTCAGCAGCCTGAGGCCTTCGCTCAGATCCCTTTGAAAATGGCAGGTGACTGCCTCCCTTCCTGCCTGGCCATGGCTAAATGGAGAGCGCCTGCTGGGTCAGGCTCTGTGCTGGATGCGGCGCATGCACTGTTTTACAGGACCCTTGTGACAGGCCTACATGGTGGGCACAGTTGTCTCGTCTTCACAGTTATCTCGTCTTCTGAACTGGGGCTCAGAGAGGGAGAGCAAATAGCTCAAAGTCACTTTTGTTCCATTGACCAAAACAGTCATGTGACTGACATGTCTGAGCTGGGATTCAAATGGAGTTTGTTTGACCCCGGAGCCCTTGTTCACTTTAGAGACCCTTTGACCCTGAACCATCCAATAGAAATATAGTATGAACCACTTACGTGATTTAAAATTTTCTTGGACTGGGCACAGTGGCTCACACCTATAATCCCAGCACTTTGGGAGGCTGAGGTGAGAGGATTGCCTGAGTCCATGGGTTCGAGATCAGCCTGGGCAACTTGATGAGACCTCATCACTACAGTGCATCAAAAAATTAGCTGGGCATGGTGGTGCATACCTGTGTTTCCAGCTACTTGGAAGGCTGAGGCAGAAAGATCATCTGAGCCTAGCAGGTCGAGGCTGCAATAGCTGTGAGCATGCCACTGCACTCCAGCCTGGGTGACAGAGTGAGACTCCAACTCAAAAAAAATTTTTTTCTAGAAGCCACATTTAAGAAGTATTAAAAATAGGTGCGGTGGCTCACACCTGTAATCCCAGCACTTTGGGAGGCAGAGGCAAGAGAACTGCTTGAATCCAGGAGTATGAGACCAGCCTGGGCAACTCGGTGAGACCTTGTCTCTACACAATTAAAAAAAAAAAGGCCGGGCTCGGTGACTCAGCCTGTAATCCCAGCACTTTGGGAGACCGAGGCGAGTGGATTGCCTGAGCCCGCGGGTTCGAGACCTGCCTGGGCAACTTGGCGAGACCTCGTCTCTACAATAAATAAAAAACTAGCCGGGCGTGGTAGCACGCACCTGTAGTTCCGGCTACTTGGAAGGCTGAGGCGGAAGGATCGCCGGAGCTCAGCAGGTCGAGGCTGCGGTGGCCAGGAGTGTGCCACTGCACTCCAGTCTGGGCAACAGAGTGAGACTTCAACTCAAAAAAAAAAAAAAAAATTAGCCAGGCATGGTGGTGCATGCCTGTGTTTCCAGTTACTTGGAAGGCTGAGGTGGAAGGATCATCTGAGGCCAGCATGTTGAGGCTGTGGTGGCTGTAGCCTGAGTGACAGAGTAAGACTCCTACTCAAAAAAAAGAGGCCGGGCACGGTGGCTCACACCTCTAATCCCAGCACTTTGGGAGGAGGAGACAAGAGGATTACCTGAGCCCATGGGTTCAAGGCCAGCCTTGGCAACTTGGCGAGACCTCATCTCTACAATAAGTCAAAATGTTAGCAGGGCATGGTGGCACACGCCTGTAGTTCTAGCTACTTGGGAGTCTGAGGCAGAAGGATCACCTGAGCACAGGAGGTCGAGGATGTGGTGGCCGTGAGTATGTGACTGCACTCTAGTCCTGGCGACAGTGAGACGCTAACTCAAAAACAAAAAATTTTTTTTGACCTAATTTTAAAACTTAAAAAAAAAATTGGGTCTTTGTCACCCAGGCTAGAATGCAGTCTCACGACCACGGCTCACTGCAGCCTCGACCTCCTAGACTCAGGTGATTCTTCTACCTCAGCCACCCAAGTATCTGGAACTACAGGAGCAGGCCACCATGCCCAGCTAATTTTTAAATTTTTTTTTTTGTAGAGGGGAGGTCTTGCTATGTTGCCTCGGCAGTCTTGAGCTCCTGGGCTTGAGCAATCCTCCAGTTTGGTCTCCCAAAGTGCTGGGATTACAGATGTCAGCCACTGCACCAGGCCCTGTTTTTAAGACTTTCTTTTTTTTTTTTTTTTTTTGAGTTGGAGTCTCACTGTCGCCCAGGCTGGAGTGCAGTGGCACACTCACGGCCACCGCAGCCTCGACCTGCTGGGCTCCGGCGATCCTTCCGCCTCAGCCTTCCAAGTAGCCAGAACTACAGGTGCGCATTACCATGCCCAGCTAATTTTTTGATTTATTGTAGAGAAGAGGTCTCACCATGTTGCCCAGGCTGGTCTTGAACCCACAGGCTCAGGCAATCCTCTCACCTCAGCCTTCCAAAGTGCTGGGATTATAGGCTTGAGCCACCGTGCCTGGCCATAATTTTTAATAATATATTTTACTTAACCCAGTATATCCAAAACATCATATCAACTCATAAAGATTTACTACTGAGATGTTTACATTCCTTTGTGATACTGCCTTTGAAATTCAGTTTGTATTTTGCATCCACAGCACTTATCTATTCCAGATACCACATTTTCATTGAAAATGCTCGATTTGTATTTAGATTTTGTAACATTTACAGTTGAAAAACATAGATTCAAAGCCGGACTCCGTGGCTCAGCCTGTAATCCTTTGGGAGGCTGAGGTGAGTGGATTGCCTGAGCCCGCAGGTTCGAGACCCGCCTGGGCAACTTGGCGAGACCTCATCTCTACAATAAATCAAAAAATTAGCCGGGCGTGGTAGTGCGCGCCTGTAGTTCCAGCTACTTGGAAGGCTGAGGCGGAAGGATCGCCGGAGCCCAGCAGGTCGAGGCTGCAGTGACTGGGAGTGGCCACTGCACTCTAGTCTAGGTGACAGAGTGAGACTCCGACTCAAAAAAAGAAAGAAAAACATAGATTCACATACCTATGTTGTTCTAAACATTCTAACATAACAGCTTTTAAATTTAAATTAAATTAAGTTTCTTGTTCTTATCACACGCTCTGTGCATGTCAAGAGCTCTGCAGCCACATGTGTCTAGTGGCTTCGTGTTGGACGAGGTAGTTCTAATTGAGTGTCCACATGAGGAAATTGGCACACGAAGTCATTTAGGCCAGAGGCACCAGCAACCTGGAAGATGCAGGTAAGCAGAGACTCCAGCCTTGCTCACCCACCCATCCAGGGGTTTCCTGTTCAGCTGAACAGTATCTGTACACACCTGCTCTGCGCTCGTCCTTGGGGCCAGGAGGTGATGCAGCTGGGAGCAAGACTGACAGGGCCCATTCTCTGGGAGGAAACGCATCAGAAGGTTGTCCAGTCAAGTGTGGGATGCAGACTGGGTTGACGTCTGGCTATAGCAGAGAGGCCAGCGGGACCTTGCTTGGTATGAGGGTTGGGGAGTCTCCTCTCAGGAGGCACCGAAGCAGATGTGCATCTAAAGGTGCATGCTTTCCTCAGCTATGACTGGAACGCTGCTGTGGAAAAACCAGCCCACATCTCAGTTGCTATGGCAACAAGCGTCTATTTTCAAGCTTCTGGGCTGCATGTCCACTGAAGTCTA